TTATGTACTGTCAACTGTGTGCTAGGAGTTGTGCTAAGTGCTTTACACGTATTGTCTCATTTACTCCTCATAACCATACTATGGGAGGTAGTTGCTATTATTATCCTTACTTCACATATGAGGAAACTGAGGCAAACAGAGGCTAAGTATAACTCAAGTCTTCCTAACACCAGGCCTAGCACTTTATCCAGTGTGGCCCCCATTTCAAAAATCATAAAACTGCCTACCTCTATTACAACCAGAGGGCAAAGTAAAGATAAAAAGAAAAGCATACATTGATGACCTCATGAAAGAAACTCCAAAGGGAAAAAGTGCCAGGTGTGTCATAGCCAAAATCCAAAACTGCAACATAAATGAAAGCAGAAAAGAAAGAAAAAACATATTGAACCAGTTTTAAGTATACTCAAGCTTACTTAAGACCTAGTTATAAACAAGAGCAAATCTTGGAGCATGGTATTCGAAAAGGCAAAAGATAGGGGCTTACAACCAAGAATAACTTCCTCCTTCAAAATTGAGTATAATTCTAGAGAAGAAGTGGATTGGAGGCCTTTCAAGTATTTCTAATGAAGAGACCAGAGCCCATTAAGATCTTTGACATACAAACATGAAAGTCAAGAAAACATGGAATGGTAAATTTATTTAAGCAATTGGAAGAGACTATATGATGGTGTAGGGTTAACATTATACCAGAAGGGGAAAAAAAAACTCAAAACAAACTTTTGACTTCTAGACTAAAAAGATGAGTAGAGCCTCCTGCAGGAGGGCATGCTGATATCTTGTCATGTATGTGGGGATCTGAAGAACTTATTCTGCGGAAGAAAGAATGTGGTGATTTATTCACTGAAAACTTTTTCGAAGTAAGTTAGTATGAATTTTTAACGTGAAAAAGAAATTTCTAAGAACCTGAAGCTAAAATCGAAGAAGAGATATTTACAGGCTCTCTTTTAAAATGGTGAAAGTCTAATGTTTTGAAGATCAGATGAACAAAAGTAAAGGAGCATCCTAAAAATCGTTGTTCAAAGTGACCAAAAACTATAGAAATCAACAAGATATTTTCAGTGATATTCACAAAGCTTGTGAAGTTTTGGGCTATAATGTCATTCAAGATCCATTTCTTGGAATCAGATATGCACTTTAGAAAAAAATTTTTTCAATTATCAAGCATTTAACTTTTCTCCCTCTTATCTCTCCCCCCACAAAAAAAAAAAACCCTTGTAACAGATAAACATAGACAAGCAAAACAAGTTCTCCTCCTTGCCATGTCCAGAAATCTGTCTCATTCTACATGTTAGTCTCATTAACTCTTGGTCAGAAGATGGGTAGCATTCTTCAGCATAGGTCCTTTGGAATCATGGTTGATCATTGCATTGCGTTGGCATTGCAGAGTTCTTAAGTGTTTCTAAGTTGTTTTTACATGTTAATATAAATTATTCTGACTCTGCTTACTTCGTTCTGTATTAGTTCACGGAAGTTTTTCCAGGTTTCTCTGAAACTACTTCTTTATTTCTTTCAGCACAATAGTTTAGGCCAGGGTCATTACTGTCTGTTACATACAAACTCTGATTGGTGACAGATTCATTCCCATATTTTACCTCTTTGTGATCTTTTAATATTGACCCTGAGTATAAAAAGGTATTGGTCAATTTATAAGCGCTGTAGAAGCCAGGATAGGATCCTGTAAAGTTTACTTAGGACCATAGCTAGGAGTTCTCTGGGCATGTGATCTTTTTTTCTCCTTTTTGCCTTCCATCTTCACCATCAGAGGAAAGAGTACAACCTCTCTTTCCTGCAATCTGATCCTTTCTGCCCCACTGCCAGTCTGTTTTGTCTTTTGACCTGTCTAAACACCCCTAAATGGTACATAGATAATCTTCAGGTATCAATGGACCCTGATTTATGAATGCAATGTAGCTCTCTCCAACTATTTTTTTTTTCAAATGCCAAAATGTATCTTTAAATATTCTGCTTATTTGTAAGGATGAGAGGGTTATCTTTTGTCCAGTGACAAAATGTAGTCCAAAGAGATAATGCTGGTAAATAAGAGAATCCCTTTGAGATTAATTTGACAGGAGTAAAAGGGAAATAAGCATTCATGTTAGTCCTTGCAAAGCAAGAAAGCCAAGTTGTCATGAGCTAGGTCTAACAGTACTGATTAGGAAGAGTTGTATTAATGTAAGAAAAGCAGATAACTTTGATATTTTGATGGATCTGTGGTCTCTAATGGGGGCACTACCTCCCACAATGTTTAAACAATTCATGTCCTCTCATCCTGACTTACTCGTGTTGTTCTATAACTACTCCACAAGCAGTCCATCCAACATCCTGGTTAGAGCTCTTCCTCTGCTTCTCTTGATATTCTGTAATAAATGGAGCATTAGGTTGGCCATCAGTTCTCTCTTTCTACTTCTAACATCTTTTCTAGTGCTCTGTCTCTGATGCTATCCTTTACATTCTGCTTTTCCTTTGCTTAAACAACCCAGTCCCAATTTCTAAATTTGTCTAATACTTTTATTGGAATGAGTTGGTCCTTGTAGGTGTCTAGGAATAACTCATAAATACATTGCTTATCCAAGGAGTATATTCTGTTATCATATAGTTAACCATTTTTCCACATCATGAGGGAGATTTATTTCTAAACATTAGATTGGGAGCAAATCAATCCATATTTGAGAGCCTGTTATGTGCAAGGCACTATGCCAGATTCTGTGGGCTCATAAAGAAGGAGTTTAAAATATGTGCATGTGAAAAGATTACTAACAATTCATTAAGTGTGCTAAATGAGTGATACAAGAAATAGAATCGAAAACCATAATTGCCATTAAAATACATACTAAGTACTTGCATGAACACTCCAGAAATCACTTATCTCTCCCTGTTTCATGAGCCCCAAAAGGTATTTCCCAACTCTAATATTTTGACATTACAGATTGACGTGTTCCCCTCCCCCCACTCAAAGTCCTATTTAGCAAATATTTAATTAACAACTAAATTACACTGAATTTATTCTGTTTTGAGGTGAACAATTTGGGGACAACCTTTATGATAACGGGGGGAGGAATTGTAAATCTCTTGAAATTATAAAGATACAAGTATTACAACTCAAATGATGTGGAGTTTTTTCTCTTAAGATATATTCTTAGCTTCGGATCTACATTACTTCATATCAGTGCTTTTTGAAAAAGAAAATGCAAAGAGACCCTTGCCCCCTGCCTTCAACTGAGGTTTGTCTCAGTTTATGCCAGTAATGAATGCTCTGCTTGTATTTTGCAAGGGATGCATTATGTAGTATTTCTGTAGAGTTCATTAATGATCTATGGCAGGGGAAATTCTATAGCCTTTTTGTAAGGTTATTTTTGGTAGAAGAATTTACTGGAAGATTTTTGCTGACTGTATTTGATAAAAGAGCAGTATATATAATGTGTTAGAAAGAAAGAAGTATATACTTACAGAACTTGATAAGACTCTCTTAGATCAATACAAGATGATAACTAGAAGAATGTTGAGATTATAAAACTGAGTGTAAGTACTTTAGATGAATCCTTTATAATGAGTTTAAAACTGTGAACAACTCTAAAGATGAAATAGTCTAGTTCTATCATTTGACAGAGAGAAAAAGTGATGTATCTATATTTACATTTCCACATATCAGCATAGTCCCCATATTCAGCACTTTTAATAGTTGTATAATTTATTGGCCAGTCATTCCCCTATTTGGAGGCATTGTTGGGGAGGAGGAAGGAGTATACATGTACATACATAGATACTTATATTATGAATACTACTGCTGTGAACATCTCTATGCTTTGGGTCCCTGATCTCATGTTGTGGATGTTCCTTCAAGGGAAATCTTGCAATACAGAAGCATTTTTTCCCTAGGCAATACTTACCCAGGGCATTCTGTTGGTAACTAGTTCAGCAGTTTCTCTTCATGCAGAAAACTCAACAGAACATTTTATGATGGTAGAGATTGTGTTTAGGCTCTCAAATCTTTTATACAAATTTCTTTTTTGGTTATTTCCTTGGAGTATATTTAGATAGAGTCTTTATTTTTGTCAAAGGTCCACTTACCTGTTAACTCCAGTTTTCTATTTGTTAAATATTTGGTATTTCTTTTATATGGATTAAAATTAATAGATTACCAGTATCTATACTTCGTATGGAATTGATGCCATGTATTGATTATGATTCAATCGTAGTGCTTTTTCAGCTCATATTTTTTATTACTTTTTTTTGTATTTTATATATGTGTTTGTGTGTGTGGTTTTTGTTTTGTTTTGGTGAGGCGATTGGAGCTAAGTGACTTGTCCAAGGTCACACAGCTAGTGAGTATCATGTATTGGAGGCTGGATTTAATTCAGGTCCTCCTGACTCCAGGGCCAGTGCTCCATTCACTGCGCCACTTAGCTACCCCTACTTTTGTGTATCTTAAGAATAAAATTATTGATAATCACATTTAAGTAAAATTTACCCACCTGCCTGTATTTATTATACTAGCTCAGCTCCAAATCCCAACACAAAAAATGGATCCAGAGCCAGTTACATCCATGTCCAAAGATGTGCACAAAGCAAGAAAGGGAACCAAAATGATATTCTTGTTTTCCTCCTACCTTTGTCAGGAAATTTGAGTAGAGGGAAGGGAGTATATTTTGAGATATTTCAGGAGTAGTGCTAGCTATATCTGTCAGAAAAACCCATTGCTTTTCTGGTATGTAAGCACTTTAGGTATACAGTTGACTTCTTAATTGTGCAGCAAGTTATCTACATGCAGTTTCCTGTTAAGTGATTGCAAAATTAGTAACATTAAATAATATTTGCCATAAGTTAAAATGTAAGAAATAATGAATTTATGAGATATTTTATTCACTAAATACTTATTAACCATTTACTATGTGCAAGGGAAATACTTGAATACTGTCTCTTTTTTTCCATGCTAATGTAAATATAAATAACTGAAAATAGATATATTTTTCACTGTAAGCTGTTCATTCCTTTGCTTTCAGGCTGTTGAAAATCTCTGTTCTTACAAAGTGTCCCCAACACTCTACAAGCAACTTCGACAGGTTTGTGAAGATCATGTCAAAGCACAAATCCTTCAGTTCAGAGAATATCCTTTTTTTTTTTTTGCTTATGAAGTTATGTCTTCAAAACCCTCTTTACCTTATAGAAGAGGATAATTTTAAATTTGTTTTATGTAATGAGTTTTTAAAGTAGCAAGTTTTTGCAGTGGCATTACTGTAGTATTTTTTGTCACCTGAAGGTTAATAGGATGTTCTTGTGAAATTAAAGCACTGGATATAGAAATAGTTGCCAAAAATTGGTCTTGTAGATTGAGCTCTTGGATTTTAACTTTTTTTCTCTCATTTCCTCACTAATCCTTCTATACAAATTTTGTTATTTTACTGTATGTGGTTTATGTTAAATTATGTTTCTATCTGTGTACTGTGATACGTAGAACATTAAGGTAATCATCATTGTATTTTTATGATCTGTCATATTTAATTATTCTTCCACTAATCATAGAGCTATAAAGTGCTTCCTTGTGTTCTCTTTTTTTTTTAAAATGATGTGACCTTTTATATTTAGATTACTCATTTATTTGGAGCTTATTGTGGTATATAGAAGGAGTTGCTGATCTAAAACTATTGACTGCTAAACTGCTTTATGGTTTTCCCAGCAGTTCCTGTGGAATAGGGAGTCATTACCCCAATGATTTGTGTTCCTGGTTTTATTGAAACCTGGAATACTATATTCATTTACTTCTAGAACTTTCTTGTCTCTTCTGATCTACCTTTGTGTTTTGTTTTGTTTTTCACCAGTACCTAGTTATTTTAATGATTGCTGCTTTGTGTTGTGTGGCTGGAGGTCTGGTCATGCTAGATTTCCACCCCACAGTGAAGAAAAACTGAAGAGTTTTTCCTAATTTCCCTTGAAATTCTTATCACATTTTGGTATTAACAGCCAGCTACTTCCATGAATAATGAGATTATAGCTTATGGTCACAGCTTATGATATTTGGGTTAATCATTTGAATGATTTCTTCCTCAATATGTTCATATCATAGGTATAGGTATCCCCAAAACCCAGAATCTTACTTTTATGGTATTATAAATATATGTAATTTCTTAAATTGGCCGGCATGAAAGCATTTTATGGCATGAGACCTAGCAATTATACAATTAGGAGTATCATGTCGATGTGGAGGCTTATTTACTGTTACTCTCTGTCTCTTCCAAATACTCTCTTGATCCAGAATGTAGAAGGAAGTCTTTGCCCAGTGAGTTTATAATTATGGGCTCTCTACTTCCTTAAAATATAAAAAACTCTTAAATTCCTGAAATGTCTCTATTTTTCTTTTAATATGTATGTTAGTCTACTTTATAAAACCTAAGGCTTGACCAGATGATAAGTACTTCATTCAGTTCAATTTTGACACAGGCAAGCTGAGAACAGTTTCCTCAGATGCTTTTTTTTGTCTGATAGTTTCAATTAGTAGTAGGATGTGAGATGAAGTAGATATTACCATGCTTAATTTTTCATTTTAGTTCATTCAGTAACACAGAAGATATCATTAGCTTTTATATTCTCAAAAGGGAATTTATTAGACTATAGAACGATTAAAAGAGAGTTGAAGTATTGGTCCAGGCACAGTCCTGGTTACAGAAGCAAATACTTCTATTGATGACCTGAATTTTCAAGGGAAAAGTCTTGAGAATATAAAGTATATCTCCATTAAGAATTCCTTTCATTTCTTTACATAGATGATGTTGACAGATATTTTTGAGGAATATAGCTTCTGAGGGTTTTTTCGATGTGGAGCCATTGATTGCTTATCCCTAGAGTCATCGATTGTATACTTTGCACCCCAGCATTTTCTATTCAGTTCATTTTAGAAATGCCAGTGTATACAAAGCCAGGTTTTGAACACAGGTTCTCCCTATCATAAAACATGATACCATCACCCTATTTGTACTCCCATACTAGATTATAATGTGTTTCTGAAGGAGAGCCTCCCAGAATGCCTGGTTCTTCATTTGACCTTTTGATTTATTAATGCTGATTAATATCTGAACAGTTGATCAAGAGGTAAAAGTCTCTTTCACTTTTTAAGTGAATTTAAGTGATTAAAATCAGTAGTTTTTAACAAAATTAAAACTTTTTTCAGAACTTGAGTCTTTATCCTTTTTAATGTTAATTATAGACTCCTTAACCATATTTAGCTGATTTTGCTGACACAAATTTACAATATTTCATTTTAACCTCCAGTAACCTAAATGCATGATTCCAACTAGCATGGAGGTTCTTAACCTTTCTGTGTGTCTTTGACACCTTTGGTAGTCTGGCAAAGCCTCTCATCTTAGAATATTTTAAATAATTGAAGGAAATGCTTCATTTAGAAGTTAGTGAAAATAACGACATAATTTTTCCCATCCAAATTCATGAAGCTGAGGTTAAAAATCCCTGATTTTGAGAAAGAGACAATCAAGTTCTCTTCCCTTAAGCTTATTATGACCTTTCCTGACAGTATACAAATGAGATTGTCAATACTCAGAGTACTGTTCTTATTTTCTTCCTGAACTGTGATTTCATTCTCTTTTAAACTGTGTCTCAGTCTGCTTCAGAACATATATCTTAATGTTTAAGCATTATACTTCTAAAAGCTACTTGTTCTATAATGAGATTTAAATTTTAAGCATCTGTTTTAAACATGTCAGAAAATTAGAGTTAAAAGTTCCAGCCATTTTCTTTTTTAACTTCAGGCCTTCCCAGCCCAATCCCTACTATAACCTTTTCCATCCTAAAAATAGGCCATTTTCCTGTTGATTATTGTGACAAAGTCTAAGTATTTCTAGGGCCTTAGTGTCTCTAAAGTGAGACCATTGGGTCAGGCCTTATAAAAGTTATAAGTACTCTGGTTTTAGTCTTCTGCTGACAGGGACCTGAGATGGGAAGCCTGATTGAAGTAGCCTCCTGAAAATGGATGGTAGGAAAAGGAAAATAGAAGCTGGACTGGGTGTAGAGAGGTACTCAGAAAGTAGCAAAGGAGATAAGAAAGTAAATGAAGGATCAGAGGGTGTTAGAATTGACTGAAGAAGATGATTAATGGAATAGGGAATAAGAGCTACAGGCTTAAAATATATGGTCATAGGTTTAACTTGGGTAATTATCAAGATAATGTTTTAGGAAGAGAAAAGCTGAAATTAAGATATAAATGTAATAGTTTTCCTTAGCAGGTGCTGCACAGATTCTCTAGATAGTGTTTTATTTTTAAAGAAGATAAACAAATGCTGGCAAGATCATTGCAGACAAATGGTAAGGTTATTGTATTTTTCTGGTATTGATTATGTATTGTCTACTTTCACATTCTACTTCAGTTATTAGCTTGTTGGAATAGAACTGCTTGGATTTCAACTTCTGTTTATTCAACTCTTCTTTTGTCCCATTCCAGTTCCTAGTGGAGCTGGAATGGGACAAAAAAGAAAACAAAGGAGATTTGAGTAATTGGGGTGGAATTATATCCCTTCTCCTTTCACCTAGTAAAGAAGAAAGACTTTTAAATAATCACAGTTACTTCAAACAGTCCCTTCCACCCATGTACAGAAGGTGTAAGCCAGACTTAACAGCTTTGCATAGTCCAAGATATGATGATGTTGAATCTCAGCATGGATTTGAGCTGAGAAGAGTTGAGCATGATATGTAAAACTGTCATCCTAACTTGTTTTTTTGTTGTTCCTTAAATTAAAATTTAAATTAAAAAATGAAACAACATTATTAAGTGTTATAAATCCCCAGATTGTCATACTGTATATTCAGTTGTTAGGCACACAGTTTTTATTCCGAGGGGCAGCTAAGTGGTGCAGTGGATAGAGCACCAGCCCTGAAGTCAGGAGGACCTGAGTTCAAATTCAGCCTCAGACCAAATACTTGACACTTACCAGCTGTGTGACCCTGGGCAAGTCACTTAACCTCAAAACTAAACATAAAATTTTTTCTATTGTACACACTTCAGGGTTATGTATTCTGTTGCTTCCCTCAATTAGCTAGTAAAACAGAGATCATAATTTAAAACCAAGTACCTGTTAGCTTTTAAAAGAGCTGTGTATGAGGAATCTGATTATGAATAGGGTAGGCTTAATTATGTAAGAAAGATGAAATTAGCAACTTTAATTATATATAAGTAATTTTAAAAACCAATTTGGATATAAAATGATTTTGTGGTATTTATAAGAAAAACAGCTATTATTTAGAGGCATTCTGATATACTTTCATCATTCTTGTGTTAACTGTTTGAACTATCATTCTTTAATAGTGCTGGGCTGTTGTTAACTTGGTTTCCAAATCAGTTAAGTTGGGAGTCAGATTGAGGTAATAGCCTGATTATCTTGGCATTAACAATGGCCTTTTTGCTCTTGAAAGTAAACATATATCCAGTTCAGTTCTGGGTATCACATACAAATATCAGGTCATCATTGCAGCTCTGTACATATATATTTTGTGGTTGGTGTTCACATATTTTTGAAGTGGTAGGGAGAAAAAGAAAGCCTTGTCTTCCTAAATAGTGTTGTCTTTTTGGTTTTGTTAGCACTAAGTTTTTATTGAGGTGACTTGGTGGTATATATACATATATGTGTGTGTATATATAGATATACACACACATATACTCCTATAACAGTTTAAATCTTGCTGTCTATAAATTCCACACTATTCATTACAGTGTGTTAACTGTTGAAAAAGACTACACCCCATATATATATATGAGTACATTAGAAGAGGGGAAGGGAAGGAATGGAAGCAAACTTATAGCCTTTTCCCTGTATAAGATTTACCATATCTGTCAGAAAATGGCCAGATTAAAAAGATTTGATTTATACCAATTACTTAAGGACCATGCATTAGGACTGTGTTAAATAAAATGATAAAAATTCAAAACGAGAACTTTCTGGGGTATCTTACCATTAAGAAAGATGGTTAATATGTTCTTAGTAATAAAATTAAATGCATTATATTTATTAGACAAATAAAAATTGGTGTATGTTTTTAATTTATAGATCATGATTAGAAGTATTTTCTTGTTTTTGGATCGCACTTATGTACTTCAGAATTCAATGCTTCCTTCTATATGGTAGGTATCTTTTTAAATTTCTGTGGTATAAGTAAATCTACTAAAAGTACAAAAACTTGTTAAAATTTTGTTTTCCCAGGTAGTTATTTTTGGTAATTTGTATATCTAGTTATTAGATTGTATCTTGATACAAAAACAAAGTATTTTTGACCTCTAAAGTATGAGACAGTATAGCATAGTAAGTAGAGGACTGGCCTTGGAGTCAGGAAGACCTGGGTTCAAGTCCTGCCTCTGACACGTAATAATTGTGTGACTTTGGGCAAGTCATTTAATGTTTCATTGCCCAAGGCAACACTCTGGTACAGATGAGTTGCCTATCTGCATTGGTGGAGGAATTTTCCACACCAGGAGTTCCCTCTACCATTGAAATCACAGGTCCAGACTAAAGGTATAAATAACTTTTCTTAAAATTCATATTTAATTTTTAAAACATTTTTCAAAATTTTAAAATGTATCCATTATCTATCTTCTCTGGAAACATGTATATCCTCTTCCAGGAACCAGAGGTCCAGAACAGGATTGGATTTACCTCAACAGGCTTTGGGGAGAAATCCTTTATGCCAGTGACCACTTCTACTTACCCAGATCTACCCCATGGTGTGTAGACATTGAGTAGCATGTGCCTCTGGCCTCCTTGAATAGAATACAGGTAGGACTGGCCAGAGCACAGTGAGTAGTCCAGGGGTGCGGTAAACGCATCATCAACACCACAGTAACACCTTTTGTGGCAGAATATGTGGGCCTGTTGTTGATTTCCTATGAGATATTGGGGAAAGAGACTAGGCACATCGTGTTTTCAAAGAAATAGAAATGCTTCATATCCAAAAGTGTAGAGAAAAAATTAGGCTGATGTATAAAAAGACAAAACTGTGAGAAAATATTAAGCTATCATTCAATTAGTCACTGAAAATATATTACAAACATGTGTCTGTATTAAAATGACCATCCAGCTGAAAGTTTGAGCTTAAAAAATAAGGTAGAATACTGAAATCTTAATCTGTTAGCAGTCTCACATTATAAGCTGAAAATAATTTTTCTTAGTCTCAAAAGAAAATACTAAAGGATGTAAAAATTATTTTAATTACTTTTTTCAGAGATTAACATTCATAGTTAAGATGATGCTGTAAATACTATGTGTAACTTGAAATCAGATGAAGAATGTCCCTTTTCATAAGAGTGTCTGTATTTCATCATTAAGTTGGAGCAAAATGTCCTTGATATCCTTGTAGAGGCAAACTATGTTTAACATATGATAAAAGAGTTTCCAAGATTTATTTCAGGTTATACTTTTAAATAATGGGAAAAATGAACGTTGAAATATAAACTGGAAACAAAAAAACCGTGAGTCATAATTAGAGGAATGTGAAAAACTTTGATAATACAAGTAGCAATGATAGCTCATTCATATAACAATTTAAAGCTAACAGATATTTCTACAGCCTCCTTTTGAGGTAGGTTCTGTTGCATAATATTATCCCTATTTTACAGATAAGGAAATAAGCTCAGAGAAGTTAAATGACTTGCCAGCGGTCACACATTTTTTAAATGACTGAGCCAGGATTAAAACCTATGCCTTCTGTCTCCCAGTATGGTGTTCTTTCTCTTATGAAGCTAGAATACTCTTTTAAAAATACACACACACACACTCACTAATGAGACTTTGAGGCTAGAGTAGTAAATAAGACAGATGTAAGCTGAATTATGTAATTGTTATTAATAAAGGAGGACCACGTCTAAGGGACAAAAGCAGGAAACTTAGTGCAAGTGGAGTACTAATTAACAGTATATAGTTTGGAGGGCAGCTAGGTGGTGCAGTGGATAGAGCACCAGCCCTGGATTCGAGAGGACTCGAGTTCAAATCCGGCCTCAGACACATAACACTTACTAGCTGTGTGACCCTGGGCAAGTCACTTAACCCCCATTGCCCGAAAAAAAACCAGTATGTAGTTTGCTTGAATTCTTTTTATCTTAGGAAAAGTACATTGCAAATTGGCTGTAAGTTGGTCTACGTGGTCAAGTCATGATGTCTTACCCATTATAACAGACCTGTTCTGAAAAGATAAAGCTCTAAATGAAAATGTTTAGTTGAAGATATTATATTCCCAAAGCAACCACAACTGTGTCTTATTGATAAAAGCTTTAAGTATCTACTATATGTCAGATGCTGTGGTAGGTCCTGGAGACACAGATACAAAAATGAGATTATCCTTCTCAAGAATCTTACATTCATTTGGGAGGGAGGCAGGGTACAACATGTTAGTGGATAAACACAGATTTTATCCAAAATAAATGCAGACTAGTGGATGGCACTAACAACCAGGAGAATCAGGAAAGGCTTCTTGAAGGAAGCCAGTGATTCTAAAGTGAGGAGGAAGAATGTTCCTAATATGATAAACAGCCTGCAGAGAGACTGTGGGGGTGGGGGGACCCATGACAAATGAAATGTTGTATATGACAGCAGTGGGCCCCTTTGGAACCTAGAACCAGTATTCCAGTCCAGAACATAAATGCATGGGGGGAAATAATATATAATCGGCCTGAAAAGATAGGCTAGAGCCAAATTGTGAAGGTCTTTGCCAACTAGAGATTTTGCGTTTTATTTTAAGATTATGAGGAAACTTCTTGAGCAGGGAAGTAACATGATCAGACCTGCACATTAGGAATATCAGCCATGGTGGCAGCTATGAGGAGGAGGCATTGGGGAGGGAAAAGACTGAATGGAGGCAGCCTCTTAGAGGAGTTGTAATAAGAACCTGACCTCGAGTGGAGGTTTTTATACTAGTGAACAAACAGCGTGAATAGCAAAGAATGAGAGTATTCTTTTCCTTTCCGGTCTCCAGTCTAAATCCCACAATTACACTTTTTAAGGGTAAATAGAAAATCAGTCTTATTCTAGCAAATTTGCCATAAATTATTCCCTAAATACCCATTTCTATAGCTAATTTTATACTCCATTAAAAAAGTATGAATTCTAGGCTTTTGCCATAGTTTTCGGCATTCTCATGTATTTCTGAATAACAGCTTAGTTTACTTCATACTTTATTAACTTTTTATAGTTTATAAAGCAAAGGTTCTTAACTTTTTTTTGGTGTCATGGACCCCTTTCACAATCTTGACAACCTCTGGACCCCTTCTCAGAATAATGTTTTTAAATAATTGGAAAAAATTCTGAGTTTCAGTAAAAGTTTAGTGAAAAATAAAAATGTAATATTTGTCCTATCCAAATTTCTGGTCCCCTTGGAATCTCTTAACAGACTGTGTAATTTAAGGGGTGCTATAAAGGGTTACACTATAACCCTGTATATGCTAGCCTGCATGGATCTACTAGGCCACCTAACATTAACACTGTCCAGAACCTTGGCTCATAGGACCCTCTTGACTTTGCTTTATAGTGTATACATATGTGTGTGTGTGTGTGTGTGTGTGTGTGTGTGTGTGTGTGTATGTGTATGTGTGTGTGTATGTTTACATAAATATATGTGTACTTAAAATATATCCACACAGGATGTAAGCCTTGGAATGAGAAAATTTCTAGATTTCTTTCATTAGTAATGTTACTGTGCTTGTGTTTATAAGTAACTTTATTTTTTCATTATGAAATTCCACTGCTGCCCCAGATGGGAAACAGGGTTATTTCTATACCGTGGTGGCTGACCAAGGCCTGTAAAATTAATTGAATAGATCTGGGCCTAAGGCATAAGCATTCCAACAGTCCTTTGCTCTTTTGCAGCACACTTAAGATATTTTGCTCAGTCTCTGGCCTGATGCCCTTCCAAACCCTAGTTCCTAGACCTATCTCCTGAATTTTCTTCTGTCTCTTGTATACTTCTAATTCTAGCATCTGGGTATTTTGAGTTTTAAGCAACTGGATCTAAGTGGAATTGAATAAATTTAAAAATTGGAGAGAGAATATGAGAAAATCAGAGTACTAACAAATTATTTTAGCCAGTGCATAACTAGATTGCTCTCTGACTTGCCACATCTACTTCATTTCTCTGAGCAATCTCATGTGGCCTGTTCCTATACCTTATGGCATTAGTATTCTTTATTAAAGACAACCCCCCCCCCCCCACATCCCTGGAAGTCTTCCACTATGTTCTTCAGCAATTTCAACAATTACTTATTTATTATGTGCAGAATACTCTTGTGCTACAAAATGTAAATAGGATTTCATCCTTGCCCTCATAGAGCCTACCTCATGGGTGAGGTGACACATATAAACAGTTGTTCTTTTTGCATTATAGTTATACAAGAAAAGTGTAAGACAACTTTGTGTAGTGTGACTGGGGAGAGTTGAGGTCTCATGGAGGAGATCACATTTGAGCTGAACTTAAAAGAATGGGTAATATTTCAAAAGGCAGAGATGGAAGGATTTCATAGGGAAACTAGAGTGGCATTCTGGACTAGAACCTACCAACTTAGGGGGCTGCATGAGTGTCCCCTTGTTAGAATGGCTCTTTTCTCCAGCTTCCATTTCCCTGGAGTGCATAATCAAGGATTTTTCTTCCTCCCTGCCCCTTGTCTTTCCCTATACAAAGCCAGTCAGAAAGCTGCCTCAGCATTGTGCAAGTCTGATCCTGTGCCCATAAGCTTAAAAAATCCAAATTTACTCACAGATTAAATAGAACCTCATTTCTTTGACCTATCACGTAGAACAAGTTGTCACATTGCAAATTGTAGAGAAGCAGTGTGGAATAATGGATAGTAGACTGAACTTGGAGTCAAGTACTTGGGTTTAAGTCTCATCTCTGATAACACACTGGCTGTGTGACCCTGAGTAAGTCCCTTAACCTCTCAGTGCCCCAGGAAGCTCTTTCTAAGCCTGTAAGTGGTAGAAGAGGTACCAGTATGCATCGGTAAAGGAGGTTTCCTCATTAGGGCTTTCCTATACCAGTGACTTCACAGGTCCAATTCAGAACACACACAAAAAGTAAGGACTGGCACACTAGTGAAATTGGAGCATGTTGGTCATTTTAATCCTACTTGAACTTCACAAAGCT